TTTCCAACAGCTGGCTTTCTGTCCGGACTCCTCCCTGAAAGGTCAAGCCCATGACTGTGCTGAACGTGGGGGAGACGAACAGTTTTATAGGTGGAAAGCAAGCAGATTCCAGCAACAAAGAATCTCTAGCTTAGCTGCATGGTGAAGCTCTGGCCTGAAAGGGAAGGAGGTTCTGGTTGATGGTCCTGGCAATTCTTCACTCTTTATGTCTTCAAATTGGTACAACCTCAGGCAGTTCTGTGGAGAAGTGCTGTTCTCTGTCCAGCAGCACAATCTTGTGTATACACAGTGTCATCTTTCTGAGAGATTGCATTTCTGCAGCAGTTGACACTGTGCACTGTAGCTTCTGTTTTTTTGGAAAAGTAAGCCATGGTTCTGCAGTTCCAGGCAACCTGAGGGGACTTTTGAGAGGGTACAGAAACAGCTGCACGTCCCATGCAATTTTGCACACTAAGCACTCTGAAACAGTAGTTTTCTTTCACAGCTTTCATGTTACTGTAATATTTACCTCAGTTCTACCCTGTAAGTTCAACCCAAAGAACTTTGTGATCAGGTGGATAAAACCTGCAGAGACAGCGTATGATCATCCATGTTCTGCCCTGGACCTCCAGCTGGTGGAGCTGCTGAAGGGCTCCTAAACCTGCCACCCGTTGGGTTGACACTATCTGGTGCGAGCAGTGGTGGTGGAATTCATTGCAGTGAACTCATCCGGGGGCTTGAAAATCTGCATTAAAGTGCCAAAACTCAAAACCAAAATAAAGCACGAAAAGCCACAGCTGGGTACAGAGAAGCAAGTTCTTTGCCACTGGTAGCGTCGGGGTTCTGTGCATGGTTGAGCCCTCACAACACCCTGGAGTACAAAGCCATTGAGCAGGGAATGAGCAAATAGTATTTTTCTCTTTCCCATCCAGAAGTTTTATCTGCAGGTTGTGTTTTGGATTTGAGTCTTTTTTAAGAGAAAAGGGGGAAGAAAACAACGGCCAAAAACCTCAGTCACTGAAACTTAGTGGTTTAGATTTGTTTCTGTTTCTGCTCTGTTACAGTTTGTAGAAATTTCAGGTGCTTTTAAAGTGTTCTGTACATGAGCAAGGAACATCATCAACGAAATCAGTTTCTATTATTACAGGTGTACTGGAATAGTCTGACCAGCATCTTCGAGCTGGAGACCCAGGACCTTTAGAACAAAAAGCTAATTCTTTCAAATTTTCTGGAGAAAACTGTGAAGCCAAATTTTCTCTGTGGCACTGTTAGGTATATGTGTTTCTTCTGTTTCCTTCTTCTCTGCTCCTTTTAGGCACTCACTTCTACAGTCAGTTCCTCAGAAAAGTCTTCCAGATGGTCCTTTTTTTTTTTTTTTGTCGTTTTCTGGACTAGAGTTTACGTTAGATAGTCAAGACCATTTGGCTTTAACCAAAGCTTGTCAGATTCCAGGATGGTATCAAAATTATTTACGATTTCTTCTCTCTTTTCTCAGTAGGGCCTTCAGTCTAGAAAACCAGAAGTTTATGGGCAAGGCTTTTCTTTTGTTTCATTTGCAAATATTAACATATGTCTCAAATCTATGCGGGAAACATCCTCAAAACACTTAGCAATGCTGTTCCTGGTCACCACCAATTTTAGAGAATAGGGTGCCTGAGCTTTCCTCATCCCACCTCTGCCCATTAACTCCAAACATGAGATCTGTTGTCAAGGTGGTGGTGTTAGACAGAACTCTGTTCTGTGTCTGTAAAGCAAACCTCAAATACCTCAGCCTTGTACCAGGAAAGTTCAGTGTCATTCATGGTATTGTGTTTGGAGGGTTAGGTTTTGTTGTTGCCTCACCATTTACAAGTTTATTGATGCTTCCACGTACTTTTATTAGCTACTGCTAGCTGGTGCTGTTCTGTTGCATCTTCCGTTTATCTGTCTGAGGTCCAAAACAACTCAGAGCTCTGTAAGTACCAGTCACTGGGTCTGCTGTCAGCAAGCCTTGTT